GAGGCTTGAAGACAGGGAACCTCTGTTTCCTGCTTCACTGGAGGAGTTTTGTCGAGGTCCGACAAAGGAAAGGTTAAAGCAAGCCAAATTTAGGCCAGAGGTTTGGGTTGTCAAGGGACATATTGGAACCAGCCCAAGATCTGATTTGAAGGCCGTTTGAAACATTTTAGAGGACAATCCAAAAGACTGTCTTTGGGAACTGAGGAGCTACTGCCTATGTTTGTAGGTCTATAATGAGCCAGGGCTCATTCCTATTCTGGAATGTCCCCCAGAGATGGAAGTGTCATCAAAAGAAAGTTCCCTGGGGCCTGAAACAGGGGACGTCCCAGGGCGCCCCTGGAAAGTGGGTTAGCCCTTACCTACTGTGTGCTGAGCAGTGGAATGACCTGTGTTAAGCGTAGAACTGGGAGTGGCAAAGATGGCCGTCTCAGGTGCTGGAGATAGCATTAGGATAAGACAGTGAGCTTACCACTCCTGCTGGCAGAGTTAAGACAAAACTCTTACTCCTATCACATGGCCATGAGGAGCTAGAAACCCTGACCCCAGGTGGGGTGAGGTCCTGGGTGGCATACTAGCTGGCCAACATTCAGCCTTAGTTTTAAGGGTGGAGTGACCTTCTGAAGGAAGGAGAGATGAGAAACCAGAGCTGGGGGTTAGGCTAGAAGTCCTAGGAAGGAAGGGGTCTGGTGAGGCTGCAACCATCTGGGAAGCCTTTCTTGGTCTTCACTGTCAATGAGTAAGAATTTATATATAAGAATTAAATGTGTTGGAAGAAATAAAGGATGGGAGTTTAGATGACCCCAAACAGCTAGACCCCAAACATTTAGTTAATGCCAGAGAGGTGGCAGCGATGTGGACACATGACCCAGAAACACAGTGACCAGAGTTCCAGAGAATGTAGACTACATGCTTCAAGGTAGGGTACTGTAGGGAAAGGGACGGAGGGTTTCCTTAGGGGCAGAATGGGGAAATTGGATAACCATCCAATTTCTCAGATAAACTGTGTTTGAAATGGCAGACTCTGTTGTTTCTTTTCACAAGGCTGGTGTCTGAAGTCAGGGTCAGTTGCTTTTCTTCTTTTTTTTTCTGTTGATCATTTTTTATTTATTTATTTATTTATTTATTAAAGATTTCT